GCTTCCGATACATCCAGGATCCTTGGTTTCTGCCTATTCCCACCATCAATTCTCCAAGACCATTAAATCCTTCTGTATAAATTAGCCACACATGGTTTCTTCTACTTACCACCAAGGAACTCTAAGTGGCACATGTTCACACAAGCATCCTAACAGCCAATCTGCACCCTTAGAAGATGCCACCATGTCATGTCTAGCAAAGGAGCACAGACACAACAGCAGTCCTCAATTCCCAGGAGCAAATAGAGAAAAGGAGTGTTGAATCTCTTCATATCCTCAACTCTGCTTATATTAATAAGTATAGCTATGCCTGCTTAAACAATAATTAATAAAATTGATTGCATTCATTTCCTTTCTTTGCAGTTATCAGTCTTGAAATAACCTCAGTGAAAATTAGGCAAGAAAATAAAAGGGAAAAACTTTCCAACTGCCATTAAATCACTTACCATTGGTTTAACTATTCTACTATTCAGTTCTATAATTACTTCCATTTCTTCCTATCTAAAGTCTTTCCACAGTCCCTTCTCACATCTGTCCCAGATTGCATGTTACTGCCATTTAGAAGTCAGGCATTAACTACCTTTTTACTGTCACCACGTTATATATTCAGAATAATAAAGATGCCTTTTCTACCCAGCCAGCCCTCAGCCCTCATTGGGTTAGGAACCTCAGCCAGCTCTCTCTCTCTCATATTCTCAGCAGTGGTGGCTTCTCCACCGCTCTCCCTTTCAGCTGCTCTAATTCTGAACTTCTCTTTCTCAACAGGCCAATCATCATCAGGCCAGGACAAAGATGGTGGTAAGCAAAGAGGATGAGCTGGGATACTGGGGTCAGAAAAGCAGTATACAAACATGAAGCACAGGTTCCGGGCAAGGTGCAGCGGAGGACATGTAGCCCAAAGCAGTCACATGTGTGTAAATTCCTCTGGGTAGCTACCAGATGAGGTATTATTTTTTCTATTTGTCTGCCTACAAATAAAAGGTCTATAAGAACTGAATGCAGAGTGGGAGGCAAAGCCTGGCAGACTCTCCTCAGCAGCGAGGACAAAAGCAGGGCGGGCCAGGAGGAGCCAGGCCATCAGCAGGGAGGAGGGACCCAGGACTCTGTTCTGCTCCATTCTGTCTTGTTTTCCATTCATACCTTGGGAAAATGAGATACCAGCTTACAGTGTCAGCCCTGCAGCATGTTGGCCTTCTCCTTGGAGAATATTGAGATGGATAAACTCCTGAGGGTGTCTTAACATTGGAGAATACGGGTGGAATTCGAGGGCGCACAAAGGCCTTCCAAACAATCCTAAAATCATACCACTCAGTCATTGCCTATTTTAACTGTTTCTAATGTTGGATGTGTACTCACTTTAATTACTTTTCTAGTATACTAAGGGATCAAGCCATCGAAAATTTAAAATAGTTTTTATCTGAAGTTTGTTTTCAGAAAATCCTTGTCCTAGACGTTTTCTTCATAATTTAAATTGATGTTTATCTAATGATCTTACATTTCCTTGAGATAACTGGATAAAGAAACTAATATTGGAATTCTGTTATAATGTACAATGCCTTCCTTTAAAAAGTATCTTTAAGGGGGAAATGTATCAATATTTACTTATATGATGATAATTTGTGCGAACTGTAAAAATACTGTGGGGAAAATATGTAACTCCTTTATTTTGGCTAAGTAACCTTGTGGGAAGATAATATAAATGTTCTTTTTAAAACTGTATTATCAAGAAACATTGGGTTCTATATCTACCATTTCTAAATTCACATATTTCAAATATTCTTCCTTGTTCACAGACCATAAAATTGGGTATCTCCTTTGCAATTGAACTTTTTGGAGGCTCTCCCAAGGGGGGAGAGTTGTAGAGATGTATCAAGTACAGTTTTTTTAATTGGCTTTGTTCCAGAATAGAGAAGGTATAACTCCTTCCTGTGTCAATGACTGGATTTATGAGAATGATAAATCATTCCTCAGTTTTCCATCCAAATCTCCTTCCCTTTGGTTTCTTCTACTCTGCCCTACTTTCAGGTTATAAATTTTCTCTCTCCCCATTTTCCAGAACCAGGTTAACTAAATATCACTCTTGAAAATTATTATCTTCCACGCGCATTCTCATCTCCCAGCTATAGGGACTAGACCTATGGTGGTAAGCCGATGGAGCTATCAGAATGGGGCTAGTTCACACTGAGGTTCACACTGGGGCTAGTTCACACTGAGGTTTGCTGGCAGTGTAATGTACACACCGGCTTTCAAAGACTTTGTACCAAAAGAATGTAAACTATCTCTAAATTTTTACCTTGATTATAAGTTGAAACAATAATATTTTGGAGATACTGGTTTAAATAAAATATATTATGAAAATTAATTCAACTGTTTCTTCTTAATTTTGTTAAGATGGCTATTAGAAAATTTACAATTACATGTGGCTTACATTATATTTCAATTGGATAGTGCTTACCTGTAATATTTACTTCCACCCTGAGACTCATCACAGACGTCATCTTTGTTCTGACCTCATCTTACGCTCTCGCCTCCAACACCTGATGTACCATAAGGGTAATTATTCTCCATGCCTCATTTTATTGAGCTTCGAACAGCTAAGCCCTCAAGTGGTACTGCACCTCTGAATATCTATTTAAAAACTTAAGGTTTTGAGGTTTTCACAAAGGCTTCTTAGTCTCTTTTGCCCTAGGGAATAAGAATTCTTATGAACAAAATATGAATGCCCCTGTAGAATATAAATTTGTAAAGAAGGTCTGTTCTATTTGTGTCCATTTGTGCTAAAGGACACATCTTTCTTCTCAAGGTCTTACTGTGAAATACCCTTGCTCAAGAAGGAGGACCAATTTCCCATCAAGGAAATCAAAGATCTAAAAACTGCCCTTGGCCTGATGACACCAGAAGTTTATCTTCCAAGTCAAAAGCAGACTGAGAAGCCAGGTGGATGCCAAGGGGCTCCAACTTGCCCCTCACATTCCTGAGCATTCACTGGCCTTGCCAACATCTTCTTTGCCATTCTGTGGGTTTGCTGACCTTGGCTCTCTGACTCAGCTCTAGAGTTTCACTTCTGCATGTGTCATGATACCACACTAGATGTTATGCTAACATTCCTTCATAATGCCTTTTCCCCTTATTTAGTGACATCTCCCATAACCAAGAGAGAAGCCATATGGCAAAGGAGTGAAATACATAGGTCACAGCATCAAGCAAGTCTTGGTTTGAATCTCTCATTCTACATCCATTGTCTGCCTTACCTTCACCAAGTTACAAACTTGATTCCCTCGTCTGTCAAATGAGGATAATAATAAAACGTACCTGGGGTAGGGTCTGCTAGCTGACCCCAGTATGCATTCTCTTCCTCTTCAATAACAGAACCCCCACTCCCAACTTCAGCTTAAAACTTGGCTTCCAGCTAAAGACAACATTTCCCAGCCTCTCTTGCAGTTGCATGTGACCAATTGACCAGCTTCTAGCAAAAAGAATATGAGCAGAAATGACATATCTAACTATGCGACCCTCTTCTTTACCACTGCTTGGGGCATGGAGGTGAGATCAAGTCATCCTGGACCACGTAGATGAGAACAACAGCTTAAGGATTACAAAGCAACAAAGTAGAAAGATACTGGAGCTTTTCTAAACCACTGTCCTTGTAGCCTTTATTGCATTAGCTGAATATGTATCCTAATATGCCACCCTAAAGAAGTATGAAATTAAAGGAGATAATGTGCATAAAGTGCTTAGTGTATAATTAATATGTAACAAGCACTTAAGAATAAGAACTGTATTATTGTCATTCTTAAGTGCTTATTACATATTAATTATTATGACTATTATTATTATTATCATTATCATTATCATCATCATCATCATCATCGATAGCCCTACATCCTGCCACTGGGCTACAGACCTGCAGGAAAACACACACAAGCAAGAAGAATAAACCCAAGCTAAATCCATTGATGTGAATATGTATGACCCAACAGAGAATGGAGAAACCTAGAGGCTGGCAGAATTTCCCAAGCCTTAAGAATTAAAAATTACAAAATAAATGCTCTGTGCACCATGATAACCTACTGGGATCTGGACTGCCTGTTCTGTACAGGTGGAAATCACGATGAGGCTGCTAAGTGGGACCAGCAGAGAACACATCTGTGCCAGCCCATGCTTCATTACTTCAGACAGTTCCCTCTCAAAAAGCTATCTGGTCATTAAATTCTGATGTCTTTCATCTCACTCAATGATGAAAATAAGAGCAAAGACAGCAAGTTTTAATGGCTTTTTTTCTTTGTAGGTACAGAATAATCTTTCTCTCTTGGCTGCAGATGGCTTAAAGCTCAGCAGGGTTGCCTCCCTCTAGAGAAGGAGGAGCCAGCCACCCTGTATCGACCTGGCATGCCAAGCGTGTATCTCCAAGGCTTAGGTAGTACCCTTTACATAGTTAGCGACTGGAAATATCCCCAAGTCAGGAAATCAAGGAAACAATTTCTTATGGTGAATTTCTGCAGGGAAATTCAAAATGCTAAGAAAGGCTTTCTGCATTTATTCTTCAACTCTTGCACAGGTATCTAAATCTACAGAGCAACCATGTCCTCCTTTAAAGGAGGAATACATGAGAATCTGAGGCCCAAAGTGGGGTGCCAGCATAGTCTACAATATACTGGCAAAGTGGTATCCTATTAGTGGGAGCATCGACATTTAACCTGCCATCTGCACCAGAGCCCGCAGTGTGACGTCCTGACAGATTGAACCTGTTCCATCTCAGCACCCTGAGATAAGGGTGGATTCACTGATCAGCAGCCTTCACATATGGGATTAGGGCCTGCATACCAATGGCAAAGCAGACCCTTAACTGCGCCCTGCCGAGTCACATCCAGAGGCTCCCCAGGAAGCCTGTGCAGACATGCTGGAATGGAATGCCCGATGCCGGCTCTGGGATGCCCAGGTTAGATCAGGAGGACAGCAACTGTCACCGAGTGTGAAGATAATCAAGACTGAAATCACACCTTTTGGTTCTGCACAGGCTAGCAGCCCAAATTTTTGTTGGTGAGCTGCAAGGGTGCGATCGGTCTTGTCATGTCTAATAACGTTCTCTTCTGAAGTCTGATGTGCCGAGAGATCTGGGCTGCTTATGTTAAAAGCTGGATTTCCAATGCCTTCTGTAGTTCCTCTATCTTCTTTAACTAGAGCAAAACAAGGAGGTTAGAAGATCATACTCCAGCAAAATATATTCTAATGACAAGCAGAAAATTCCTTCCAGTAATTCTTGTGTGGAAAGACTCAAGTGTATCGTCCTCAAATGTCACCAAAACAGAATTAGGTTAAAATTAACTCTTTAAAAAAAGAATAAATGATTAAAATAATTACAAATTGCACCCTGACAAGCAAGAGCAAAATTTTGCCCACAGCCATTTGTCTGTAATTAGTTAATTAATCCTTACACAAATTATGAGCAATAACTCATCAGGCAAGGCTCACCCATCAGAAATTCAGCCGACTTGGATTTCTTCTGCTTAGTTTGCTTCAGAGCCTTCTGCTGAAACTTCTGGAGGGAAATTGTTAAATGAATAAATTAGCTAAAGAATGAAGATCATCATTTGTGATCCACAACTAACACAGTATTTTAAATATGGGATGGCATTGAAATGTCATTTAATTTACATCTCTCCTAAAGGGGTCAAACACTAATTGAACAACAGAAGTGGAAGAATTAAATAAAATAGGATAAGAAAAGTTAATACAAATGCCAAATGAAGGTCACATTAAAATACTTTGTTTTTATCATTTTTAATTAATGCAAAGAGCCCTCAACAAATTAAGAACACTGAAAAACTTGCACTGAGAAACTTGCAAGATTGGCATGCATTCGAACTGTGCTAGGATGCCATTTCATTTTGGTAGAAAATAGAATTATCTTGTAGAAAAATTGTATGTGCTATGTATTTGTTCTTGCTTGCATACCCATTTGTTTTAAACTGCTAGATTCCAGGATGTGAGCTGATTATTTATTTAAATCTTATCAGGGATATATATGATCCAATATTCCTAAATTTCAGTAAAAGGCAAAATAGTGTGAAGTGCCAAGAGAATTGTCCTCCGTGGGACTTACAGAGATTTCATAAGATGCCACATCAGTGAAAACCAGAATTCATTATATGATTGGAAAACCCATTAATATTAGAATGCATAATAAATGTTCAAAAATGAAAATGAATAGCCAGAAATACTGTTAGAGTTCTCAGACTCTTACAAGTTCCAAATGAATACTTGGTAACTGTCAGGCTAAATTTTAAAAATATATATCTGTGATAGAAGTGTCCAAACTCAGATTGAATTATAAAATTCAGGCTAACAATAAGCTACAGAGAAAAAGATAGACTATAGAAATCAGCAAGCCATGGCTATATGTAAAAGATAGAACCATATCAGACGACTCATTTAATGAGCTCTCCGATAACTGGATGAAGAACAAAATGCCGTGTGCAGTTTAAAACCTTATGCCATTGCTTCTAATGGGCTTGCTAAATCTTCTAATATTCCTATTCTTAGTTAAAATGTTTACAGTAAACTTGACTTCTTTGTAAAAATATTTTATTATTCTTATTACATCATAGAGCTATTAAATAATAATATTGTAAGTTGTATAAATAGTATAATACTATAAAAGCATATCAAAGATTTACAGACAAATATGCCATCCAAAATTCAGGGCCTAGTTTCAGCTATTAAATAATAATACCGTAAGTTGTATAAATAGTATAACACTATAAAAGCATATCAAAGATTTACAGACAAATATGCCATCCAAAATTCAGGGCCTAGTTTTCTGAGGATCTCTTCTTTGAAACACAAAGTAAATGTATAGTGCAAAACAGGTTAAAAACGAAAAAATGTACTCAAAAAATCTTTAAATTTTTCTCAAAATGTGAGAAAAGGAGACCTACCTGAGTAAAAATTACAATCCGCCCCCCCAAAAGAAAGCTTCAACTAGTATTTCAAGAAATTTCTTCTTTTAAAGAAAATGTGTAACAAATCGTATTTACAGAAAAGTCCAATAACTTTAAAACACATTTTTTCTTTAGTTAAGGAATTCTGAAATTCTGATACTTCATTTTATATGCATAAAGTAGAATGGCATATTCTGCAAAATTCCCTTGTTTAAAGGATGTAAATAATATCCAGGAGGTTGTCTCATAATTTGATACACACCCTAAAAATTGCTTAGATGCACAGTGTAATGCTCATGCACTACAAGGTATGCTTTGTGTAATAATATATAATAACAATATATAACAATATAATAAACCATATAAAATAAATTGCACTAATTTACATATTCTCTCAATTTTAATATGAAAAAAATTGGACTACATTTATTCAAAGCTTAATAAACTTTTAAAAACAGCAGTTCACAACTGCACTAAATGTTCCTGCATTTTATTAAGAAAGAGGTTGAAGTGTGATTGTTTTTTTCGCAGCCTTCATCCGAGGTAACAGCAGATATTAGTTTTCTTGACATGGTTCAGTAATTTTGGCACTTCACTCCTTTCAGATCGAGTTAAACATGCTTTTAAATAGATGGATGTGGCCTATTAATAGACCTCATTTCCTTACTAAGGACTTCAAATGAAATTATGTACTTGCTCTCTAATGTTATAAAGGTCTCAGAGATATTTTCACAAGTTCACATACTAAAGCAATGTCTGATTGTACACACCAGAGATGAATTCCTTCAGATTATTATCAAGTGATGGTTTGTATTCTGTGACCTCTTTACTACTAACACATGTTCAAGAGGAAATTGGGAGTGATTTCCGACTTCTCTCCTTTGCCAATTTCCTCACTTTTTTCTCTCCTTTGCACATGGGCACCTTTCAGCAGCGTAAATTACATTTTCCTGCACCCCTTTCTCAATTTAGAGTCTCTTTCCTGATGAGATTTTTATCTCCTTAGCTCACATGACATAATCCTTCACTCATTACCAGTTGTTAAGTTAGGCTCTTGCATAAATGTTATCATTTATCCTCACTTTTTTCTCTCCTTTGCACATGGGCACCTTTCAGCAGCGTAAATTACATTCTCCTGCACCCCTTTCTCAATTTAGAGTCTCTTTCCTGATGAGATTTTTATCTCCTTAGCTCATGTGACATAATCCTTCACTCATTACCAGTTGTTAAGTTAGGCTCTTGCATAAATGTTATCATTTTTAATAAATTCACATTAACCTATTAAATACCTATGTAGTATTTAAAAAATTAAAGAAACAAACTTTAGTCACCGGTATCTTCCTGCTTCTCACTGATATCTATTCAGTTTTGAAAATAAGCAAAATATCTAGAAATCTTAACTAACTCTACTGTGGATGTGACCCGTGGCCTCTGTCCTTCATGTTTCTATTTAGTCGATATAATAAAAAGTAACTCTCTAAATCAAATCAAAGGGAGCAGTTTCTGGTAGCACGTTTGTTAAGCTTTTTTATTCTTGTTATGGTAAGAACAGATGACAGATCTACCCTCTTATCACATTTTTAAGTGTACACACTGTAGTGTTATCTATGAGCACGGTGCTGTACAGCATATCTCTGGAACTTATTCATCATGCGTAACTGAAAGTTCACATATTTCTTTTATATGTTTGCTTAAGTAGTGATAAATCAGCCTTTTTATTTTGATAACATTATCCTATGAAATATAAGCACATTACATAGTGTGAAAGAAAACATGGCTTTGTGATTTGAACAGAGAAAAAAACAAAGCTGCCTGCAATTTTTAAGAACTGACAGTGTTCCCAAAGATATTTTCCTTTTCATTAAAAAGCCACAAATATCTTTTGATGCCTACACTCTCAACTTGAAAAGAAATCTACCATAGAGTAGCAAACACAAGCAACAACAAACTCATTTATAACCAGTGACAACCAAAACCTATGAAGTTTTTAAAAGAATGTGATTGTTGTCAGAAGGAATTGGGTCCCACGGTGCTGCTGTTCAGCTCTGGTTGCACTCAAAGCCACAGCTGAGGGCACAGGGAGTGCTCCTCCAAGGCTGGTGGGCACAGACCAGCAAGAAAGTGAATTCTGCATACTGTACGGATCATCGCTCAGTTCAGGGCAGTCAGATTGCATCTGGGATCAGCCAACTGTGCTTCATGAAACCGTCAGCCCTCATTTGTGTCTCCCTGTTTTCTTCTGTCCGGCTGTAAACAAGGCCAGCTCGAGTTGTCTCCCTAACCTCATCTGCACGGGCAGATCACACAGTCAGACCTAGTCAGAGGCCTCAGAGCTCAAGTTAAAGTTCCTTCTTGCAGACACAGTTCCCATGCACACTGGGAAGTCACAGAGAGAAGCAACTTTGGAATGACAGAGTTAGAGTCCCTTTTTGGAAACACATACCTTAGATTCCTATACATACTGGCATGGCTTGTCTCTTCCATGAAATGAAATTAGGTGTTCCTAATATGAACAACTGTTTTTTTTTCTGCAGACTAGCTCAGCAGATTTATCTTGTTGGGGGGGCGGGGGTGGTGGTGATCGTTTTTGTTGTTTCACTGCTCTGGGGCTTTGCTTGGATCAGCCAAAAAAGACATGGATAGAAATACTGTGAATCTGGTCCAACTCCAGGAACCTAATCATGCCTGCATCGCTCGGAGGAGTGTAATGATGGCAAACAGGAACAGGTACGTTGGCTTCTGTCTCATTCGCTTGGGCCATAGTATCGCCTTTGTAATAAAGCAAAACGTGATTGTGAAGAACCATCATCTCAATATGAAAGGGAGGAGGTGTTATGGAAGCCCTTCTCCTTGGCAAGTGGCATAAAGGTAATATTTAGTATTCACTACGTGAAATTCTCCCAGCCAGCTGGTGTGTCCCTGTTAAGATGTTCATTTATGCAGCTTGAGCTGGAACCTTTTTTGTTCTCCCAGCCTATTACTTTGTCGATTTAAGGCATAACAGCCAGAGTGAAACAGCTTGCAATTTGCACCTGTCTGCTCTAAGCATCCCACGTTTGATTACGTGGAGAGCAAACCTTTCACTGCTAATGAGGATAAAACTGGATAGGGCTGAATGCAGTTTGTTGGGGGCTTATAGGATATTTTAGTGTATTTTTTTTCTTTTGTAACTGATCTAATAGGGAGCTCCCTATTCTCATGTTTTAGAGTCCCTGGAGTAAGAGAATACCACTCCAAAAAAGCATAAAGTTGTGTGCTCTTTAAAGAAAATTTTAAATGTCATGTAACTAAGAACTGAATTAATTAACTGAGCTAGCTTAGATGAAAAAGAAAAAAATTAAATGGTAAATTATTTCCAAGTTGTTATCAGCATAAAACACCTATGGAGAACTTCACTTTGTTAAATTGGCAACAAAAGAAAGTAAAATTTTTTTAAAAGTGCTTAAACATATTTCAGAAACAAAACTAGTTTTGGAAATAACGTCAAGTGCCTGAAAGTAAACCTGATTTCTCTGTTCATATTGCCTTTGAAAGTTTAATTTACCGAATCCAAAATAAAAATTCAAGTGTATGACTTTAAAATCACACCTAGATAAATATAGTAGATGCATTTATCCAACTCATCATCATGTGAATCACAGAATGAATTCTCCACAACTGCAAAAATGTCAGCACCTATGATTGTCTCCAACCTTTTTCTGGAAGTTCGCTGCATCCGTCTTAGCTTTGATTCCTTCAAGGAATTATATCAGTAGGTTACCATCTATTTTGGAAGAACTTAAATTAAACTCATGGAGATGAAAGAACTACAAAAATTTCCCAAACTTTATGTATTTTAATAAGCCATAATAATAATGTTTGAATAATTAAGTAAAATATTGGTGGTGATGATCCAAAATTTACTAAACAAACAAACAAAAATGTATGTTTATCAAAAGATCCTTGCTATATTTGGATTCCAAAAATCCTTCACATTGGCACTTCCTGTTGAAATTAATAACTGATATGATGAAGGGTTAAATGAAGTTGAAGTGGTCATAATGTTTCTCACTAGAAATTAATATAGTTGACTACAGTTGTTGGCCCACATCTTGCCTGACAGATAATGTTCCAGCTCGTTCGGCAATGATCCTTTCAGCACAGCTTTAGGAGCTCTGCCAGCCATTGCTGAGTCGGGTTAGGTCAAAGGGTTGAGCCGTGTGTAATTCAGAACAGAGGAGGTCCCACGGTCACTCCACAAAAACAATTACACTACTTATTTCACTCCAGCCCTTGCCCAAAACTCACAAGCCTCACAGTTTCAGTGCAGTCAATCTAATTCTGCCCCTGGGCCATAAGCCACATGAAAATATGCGGTGCTGTGTTTATAAATCTAATCAAAAATAGAAACAGTGGACAGGCACGATGAGGTCCTACTATGGATCATGGGAATCCTGGACAATTCTGAAGGCACTTTTGTCTAACTTCTGTTGACTCTCTTTTGCTACTACATTGTCTGCTACACTCGTTAATCATCCTCTTTACTCGTGAGTGCTACAAAGGAGGCTAAATTTCTGCTCACTTCTATGCTTTCCATCCACGGATGATAATATAAAAAATAAAGCTTAAAAGGCTGCTTTTAAAAGAAAAAATCAAAGTGGGGGCTATTCTTACATCAATCTTACCTCTCTATCCATGTTCTCGGCTCCTTGCCCTTGGCAATGCACAGTTTTAAATCAAGTTCCTCTAAAAAAGAAAGATAATATTTAAGAAACAAATAAATTGGCCCAACCATAAGATATATTTAGCAATTTGGGGTTGGAGAGCTATGATGCTACTCAATGTTCCCCCNCCCCCAAAAATCAAAGTATAAAATCAACAGGATTTGGTTTGATGTCTTACTTTAACTGTTGTTGTTCTTGCCTGTTTAGCAACTCTTAATAAAATGAGAGTCAGTAAATATCCACAAAATGTTTTACAAAGGTAATCTCTAGGAAAGATTCAGACTTGATTTAGGTTGTCTAAATTTTCTATTTATGCTCCAAAGGTGACAAATCCAGACTGCACTGAAGTTATGATGAAGACTTGCTGTTGCATGCCTTTGGTAGGTGTACTATATTTATCTTTTAAAAAATTATGATCCAGTTTTGCAACTGCTAGAGCTAGGTAATATCTGATAAAGTCAATGATAAATATGTATACTTAGGGGCCAAGCAGATTTAACCCTGAGAACATTATCCAGTGAAGATATAAATTATAAAAATGTTAATGAAGAAATGTGTTTTTCACACACTTAAAACTCTTTAGATTCATGAAATAAATTATTAAGTTCAATCTACAAGCTAGTCCATTTGATATCATTTCAATTGACAAAAATACTGTACTAGAATACAGTGTACGGCCAGATAGTTATAATAAATACGACATTTTAAAAATGACTGATGGTCCCAGCATTTATTACATTATTATAAACATTCACCAAAGGAATCTTTTAAACTTGGAATTTGCCCTTTTGAAATGGTTATCAGTATTTGGCAGCAAATCAAAGTACGTCATGTGTGGATGATACATGTGACTGTTTTTTTATTCAGAGCTATCAGTTAAAGTTTTAAAAAGTCACTTCACATAGTGCACATGAGCTCTTAAACAGCTATCAATGTTGGGAAAAAATAAAATACTTTGGTCCTTCCAGTGCTAATTTTAGGACTCTTAGGTGTAAAAAGTAACATGAAAGATTTAAAGGTTATACTGAATGATTACTTTCTAAAAATAAAAGAAATACATGTAAAAGCATTTGAAAGAAAAAAAACTAACATCAAAA